GAGACCGAGCCCAGGGCCTCGATCGCCGGCAGGCGGCGCACGATGGCGTTGCGCCGTGCCATGCCCTGCACGCCGATCGCCAGGGTGACGGTCAGGATCGCCGGCAGCCCCTCCGGAATGGCGGCGACCGACAGGCCGACCACGGCCATGAAGAGCTCGGCGAAGCCGTAGTCGGCGAAGGCCAGCCCGAAGCCAAGGATCAGGGCGCTGAGCCCCAGAATCACGCCGGTCAGCCACTTGGCGAAGACCGCCATCTGGCGCAGCAGCGGCGTCGCCGTGGCCTGCACCTCGGCGATCAGGCCGCTGATCCGGCCGAGCTCCGTCGCCGCGCCGGTCGCCACCACCAGGCCACGCCCCTGGCCCGAGGTCACCAGCGTGCCGCTGAAGGCCAGGCTGCGGCGGTCGCCCAGCGGCGCGGCCGGATCGACCGGCGCCACCGCCTTCTCGACCGCCAGGGACTCGCCGGTCAGCGCCGCCTCCTGCACCGCCAGGCCGCGCACCTCGGTCAGCCGCAGGTCGGCCGGCACCCGGTCGCCGGCCTCCAGGATCACCAGGTCGCCGGGCACCAGCCGGTCGCCGGGCAGGGTCTCGCGCCGGCCGCCGCGCAGCACCGTGGCCTTGGGCGCCAGCATGTCGCGGATGGCGTTCAGCGCCTGCTCGGCCTTGCCCTCCTGCACGAAGCCGATGACGGCGTTGACCACCACCACCGCCAGGATCACGCCGGTGTCGATCCAGTGGCCCAGCAGCGCGGTGACGGCGGCGGCGGCCAGCAGCACGTAGATCAGCAGGTTGTTGAACTGGCGCAGGAAGCGCAGCAGTGGCCCGGCACGCTTCGGCTCCGGCAGGCGGTTCGGCCCCACCCGGGCCAGACGCGCCTCGGCCTCCTGCCCGTCCAGGCCGTCCGGCCGGGCCGCCAGCGCCGCCTGGGTGTCCTCGACCGACCGGGCGTGCCAGTCGCGGGCGGCGGGCGTCTCGGGCATCAGCATGGGGCCTTGCACCTCCAGGGAAAGGGCGTCGCCGGGGTCTACGGTCCGGATTTGGGCAGGGCGTCCGCCGCGCAACAGTCTCGCAAGTGTCGCAGGCGGTGGGCCCGGGCCGCGGCCGGCGCAGGCCGTGCGTGCGCCCACAGGTAGACCGGGCACGCGCGGCCGGTCTTTGACCGGCGTCAATCGGGCGAGCGCAAGGCGGGATTGGAGGCGCGGGCCTGGAGACCCGCGCCTGGAAAGGCCGGCGTGGCGGTCGCCCGGCTCAGAACTCCAGGCGCTGGAAGAACTCGATCTCGTTGTACATCCACTCGCCGATCAGGTTCATCGAGCCGGTGACGAACAGCAGGCCGGTGAGCACCAGGAAGGCGCCCATCGCCTTCTCGACCTTGGGCAGGTGGCGCTTGAACTTCTGGAACCAGCGCATGAAGCGCTCGAGGAACAGCGCGGCGAGCAGGAAGGGGATGCCGATGCCGGCGGCGTAGGTGCCCAGCAGGCTGGCGCCGTAGGTCAGGCTGTCGCTGGTCGCCGCGGTGGCCAGCACGGCCGAGAGCACCGGCCCGGCGCAGGGGGTCCAGCCGAAGGCGAAGGCCAGGCCGATGACGTAGCTGCCCAGCAGCCCGGCCGGCTTTTCCTGCACCTGGAACCGCGCCTCGCGGTACAGCAGGCCGATGCGGAAGACGCCCAGGAAGTGCAGCCCGAGCAGGATGATGATGACGCCGGCGATCGGCCCCAGGATGTGGCCCCAGCGCGCGATGAACAGCGAGATCGCGCTGGCGCCCAGCCCCATCAGAACGAAGACGGTGGAGAAGCCGAGCACGAAGACCAGCGCCGCGAGGAAGACCCGGCGCGCCACGGCCCGGTCGAGGGCGAAGGTGCCCTCGCCCGTCGCCTGCAGGGTCACCCCGGCCAGGAAGGCCAGGTAGGGCGGCACCAGCGGCAGCACGCAGGGGCTGAGGAAGGAGAGCGCGCCCGCCCCCAGTGCGCCCAGGTAGGAGACCCCGAAATCCATTGCGCGTCCTTCTCGCCGCGGCGGCTCAGGCCTTGACCTCGATCGAGCGGTTGGGCGCCAGCTTGACCGTGCCCTGCTTCTCGATCCACTGGCTGACCAGGTCGTAGACCGGCGGCCCCTCGGTGCCCTCGTTCACGCTGGCCCAGCCGGTGACCACGTAGTTGCGCTGGGGGTCGATCGGGCTGCCGTCCTTCAGGAAGGTCATGTTGGAGATGCGCTGGCCGATCGGCTTGTGGACGTCGATCGTGTAGCCCATGCCGCCGACGCGCACCATGTCGCCGCCCTGCTGGTAGTAGGGGTCGGCGTTGAACAGGTTGTCGGCCACGTCCTCCAGAATCACCTTCAGGGTCTCGCCGCTCATCTCCTGGCGGTAGGCCGCCGGGTAGGTGATCGAGGTCATGGAGTAGACGTCGTCGACGGTGATTTCCTGCCCGGGCAGCAGGCTCGCGCCCCAGCGGAAGCCGGGCGAGAGCGAGATCTCGGCGTCGCGCTCCTCCATCAGCGCCTGGCAGATCAGGTCGTCGAAGGTGCCGTTGAAGTTGCCGCGGCGGTAGAGAAGCTGGTCGGTGGTGCCCAGCACCCGGTCGACCTCGCCGGCGAAGGGCGCGCGGATCTGCTCGACCAGGGCGGTCATCTCCGGGTCGGGCCGGATGGCGTCGGCCAGCACCGGGATCAGGCGGTAGCGGAAGTCGACCACCCGCCCGCCCTCGACCTGCAGGTCGAGGCGCGAGAGGAACTTGCCGTGACTGCCGGAGGCGACGATCAGCGTGTCGCCGACCCGCTCCACCTCGGGCAGGGCGTCGTGGGTGTGACCGGAGAGGATCACGTCGATGCCGGGCACGCGGCCGGCCAGCTTGCGGTCGACGTCGAAGCCGTT